AGGCGTGGTGGTGGCCACCTGTAATCCCAACTACTTGGAAGGCTGAGGTACAAGAATCGCTTAAACCCGGGAAGGTAGAGGTTGTAAGAAGCTGAGATCATGCCACTGCACTCCAGCCTGGGCAACAGAGCAAGACTCTGTCTCAAAAACAACAAAAACCAAATTGCTGATCAAAGTGGTTTTACCAGTTTACATTTTGACTAGCAATATATTAGTGTTCGTGATGCTCTCTGTATATCTTTGTTATCATCAGATATTTTTGATAATCTGCAGGGTTTGAAAAGGAATTTCATTGTGGCTTCACTATGTTTCTGATTACTGTATTTACTGGCTATTAGATTATGTGCTCTGAAAATTATTCATATCCTTTGCCTATTTTTTTGAGGGGTTGTCTTTTTCTTAACAATCTGTAAGAGTTCCTTATGTATTCGATCATTTTATATTTTTGTAGGTTACTTATCTCTTTGTAGCTTGTCTTTTCACATTAGGGCATTTGACATAGATTAAAACTTTGGATATTAACAGAATCGATATTTATCTTCATAGTTTGTGCTTGTTATATCTTGATTTGTAATGACATCTCTATATTGGGTTTTCATAAATTCGTGGGGTGCTAATGTTTAAATCTGTAATTATAACTAATGTTTAGTTTCATTATAATTTCTCGCTATTTAATTCAGTACCTTATTTTTTTTCCCCCACAAGAGACAAGGTCTTCCTTTGGCCAGGCTGGAGTGAGTGCAGTGACATGATCACAGCTCACTGCAACTTTAAACTCCTGATACCAAGTGATCCTCCCACCTCAGCCTCCAGAAGAATAAGGACTACAGGCACGTGCCACCATGTCTGACTTATATATATGTATTTTTTGGGGAGTGTATATATTTTTTGGGGGGGTTGGGGAGGGTAGAGATGAGGTTTTGCTATGTTGCCCAGGCTGGTCTCGACCTCCTGGGCTGAAGTGGTCCTCCTGCCTCGGCCTCCCAAAGTACAGGCTTGTGGGTGTGAGCCACCATGCCTAGCCCTTTTGTAAATCCTTCTGTTTGTTCATTCATTCAACAATTCAGTCAAATACTGAATGCCCATTACATGCTAGATATGCTGCTAGGTTCTGAGATACAGATATAAATAAAACACAGTTGGCTGGGTGCAGTGGCTCACGCCTGTAATCCCAGCACTTTGGGTGGCTGAGACAGGCGGATCAAGAGGTCAAGAGTTCAAGACTAGCCTGGCCAATATTGTGAAATCCCGTCTCTACTACAAATACAAAAAAAAAAAAAAAATTAGCTGGGCGTGGTGGTGCACCTGTAGTCCCAGCTACTCGGGAGGCTGAGGCAGAAGAATCACCTGAACCAGGGAGGCGGAGGTCACAGTGAGCGGAGATTGTGCCACTGCACTCCAGCCTGGGCGACAGAGTGAGACTTCGTCTCAAAAAAGAAAAAACAAAAAAGTCACTGCCTCATGGAGCTACATTTCTGGTGGGGGAAAGACGCATAGTAAGCACTATCCAGTAAGTTGGTGTGTCCAGAGTGCTATGTAGATATTTATGAAGGAATATGTATAGCAGGAATACATTGGGGAAGTATGCTGTCTTATGGAGGGGGTCGGGAAGGCCTTGTTAGTATGAAACCTGGTGAATGGGAGAGAATAGGCAAGTGGCTATTTGTGAGGGAAGAAAATTACAGGCAAAGGGCAATTACAGGTACAAGACTCAGGTGGCGTATGCTTGACTTACTGGAAGTAAGAACTACTGGAGTTGTCTGATTTTATAAAATTTTGGGGGATGAGGCCTGCTTTCTTACTGTCTGCTGATTCTCATTTATTTGGATTATACATTCATCTTCAGCAAGGTTTTAGCTATACAGTGAGATTCCAGAATAGTTTTGTGTCTTCCAGGCACTCAGCTCCTGGCCGAAGTGGATGTTATAAATTTAGACATCAAATTTACAGGGTAGTCATTTTTCTCATCTAGATTCCAGACTTGGCCATTCAGAGCTCCTTGTTGTCTCCCTGTGCCTGTGGTCAGGGGTTAGGGGAGGTGTAGGTTGGAGTGGTGCAATTCTTTTCACATACATTCTTTTCCTGGGGTTGTGGTCCTAATGGTAATCCTGGTTTTATGCATTGGCTTCGGATCTAGTTCTGTTTAGTACACATCAACAGCTTGAATTCCTGGATTACAGAAACGCTCAAGCTACAACAAAAACCAGGCTTTTGCTGTGTCAACTCACAGACTCTCCACTTTGGGTTTTAGCTTACTCCTAATTTCTGGCACTTGGGATTTCCTTCTCTTGGGAGCTCAGCTCTGCACGGAAAGGATGTGTGTTACAGTTTATCTAAGATTTCTAGGTGTCTGAAGCAGATGAGTTTCATCAATAGCGTTGTTAGATTCTCCTTTATTCCCTCTACTAAAACCATTAACACTAATTAGGAAGTGCTAATCAGTTGATTAACAAGTGATTTAGTTTAGCAGAAATTTCAGGATATTCTTGGAATTTGGTCCATAAATATCTCTAGTTTCAAAGACCCTTGTAGACTTTCCTATATTGCTGTTGATGGTGAGGGGGTAGGGGAGAGTTAAGAGGCCTATGCTCAAGTTTCCCTAAATTAGAGATGCTCTTTTGCTATTGTTATAAATGCATATAATTGCCCCAGTACTTTATCAAATTCCCTTTAGTCTATATTTATATAAACCTAGTTTGATATACTGAGCCATTCTTTTATTCCTGGAATAAATGCTGTTTGGTCATCTCCTTAATACATCTGATTATTATTCCATTTGGTAATATTTTGAGTAAAAAATTCTATAGTGAATCCTATTTACCTCATGGACTGAGTATAGTAGCGTATCTTTTTCTGTGATCAGAAGTTATTTATGAAAGAGAATCATTTATGTTTGAAGAAGTAAATATGCCTCAGTTTCAAATGATCCTTTGGGGGCTCTATATAAATGATTCCAATATATTTCTCAGTTGTTATTAAAGTACTTGATTTTTTTCTTGCCTAACTTTTAGCAATTTTTATTTTAATGTTTCGAAGAACTGTGTTTAAGTAAATTACTAGCAAAGGAACTCTGGGGGAACTTTGAAATTTTCTCTTGGCAGTTGCTAAAGGTTTTATGTTTTCTAAAAGTTCAGTAATAGTACATTTATTTTTAGAAAAGGTTGCTTTTCAAAAAAGTGTTTCCATTTTTATTGTAGTCAGAATGTGCATGTACTTTTAAAATATTATAGCTAAATTGTACCTCATTGTTTTCTCTAAAAAGCTTTACTGCTTTTGCTTCCACTCCACTACTCAGTGATAACAAGGGTAACAATTTTCCGCTAGAATTGCTTGTCACTTTATTCTTGTACTTCAGTTATACCACTGAACATCTTTTTAAATTGTTGCCACAAAATATCTTGCTTTTATCATTTTCACATTGCTCTAGTATATCAACTTTGGGAACAAGATATCATTCTATTTATAGCATTCTGTTTTTAGTAGTGGTATTTCCATTTACAAAATACAGTAATTCTTGATCGCTGAAAATGTCAAATCCTAGAAAACATAGCATGCCTACGGGTGATGTTAACATCATTCTTGAACAGTGGTTGGTTGATTCATTTGATGAATCCGATTTTTCCGAAATAGATGATTCAGACGATTCTGGTGTTCTGTTTAGAAATAACTCCAAGAACACTTTTAATAGTTTATTTTCACATTGAAAATCAGATTTGCTCCAGCCTTAAAGAGCATATTTATGTAAAATTAGGTAAGCGATAGAAGGAAGCTGCACTTTTTTTCTAAATGGGAAGGTATTAGAAAAGTCTCATTTTAGTAACATAGTCTTCCTTAAACTCTGTATGCCAATTGTAGATTTCTGAAAACTGAAGACATGGAAGGGAAAGGGTTTGGTATGAACGACAGCTTTGCTGGCAAATAAACCCAACTGAATATACTCAGTTGGGTGTCTACTAATTTGTTACCTAAGATTATCTAAGGTAACCTCTTTTTCTAGTCTTTTATTATGTGAACATTTACCTCCTGCTGAGTTGTTTGCAGAATTTCCATATAATCTTGCTTATGAACATTTCTGCGTTATTTGTATCATCTTTTAGAAGTCTTACCCAGGTTGATATAGGTTACTGTTATGATCTGTGTCTCCAATTCTTCTTATGTGGCATTAGGTATTTTAAACTTGTTCTTTTTCAGACATCGTATAGTCAATTCTTGAATGTGTTGAGAGGTGCTATGTCATTGTAAGCTTTATTCTTCTTCTTAGCTTGTTTCAATTTTACCTTGAATTTTTTTTTTTTTTTTTTTGAGACAGAGTCTCGCTCTTGTCACCCACACTGGAGTGCAGCGGTGTGATCTCGGCTCACTGCAAGCTCTGCCTCCTGGGTTCACGCCATTTTCCTGCCTCAGCCTCCTGAGTAGCTGGGACTGCAGGCACCTGCCACCACGCCCAGCTAAATTTTTTTTTTGTATTTTTAGTAGAGATGGGGTTTTACCATGTTAGCCAGGATGGTCTCCATCTCCTGACCTTGTGATCCACCCACCTTGGCCTCCCAGAGTGCTGGGATTACAGGTGTGAGCCACTATGCCTGGCTTTTACCTTGAATTCTTTAAATTCGGCTTGTGACTTTGCACTTCAGGATTCTGAGTGTTCTCTGTCTTCTTCCTGCATTGTTTTTCTTATACCTTACAGATTTTTCATTGGCCTTGACTTTTTGTTGTTAACTCATTCTTCTTTGAGTTTATCTTCATTTGTTTCTGCTGAATATTATTTGTTTCAAACTAAAAATAACATTCCACATTTTAATTAATATGTGGACTCTTAATCTACTTAAAATGTGGGGTGAAGTTCCATGATTCCAGCTAGTTTGGAATAGGTCGTTTAACTGGATGTTAATCCACCTACTTTGTCCCCTAAGTGACATGTGGGTCCCATTCTGCTGACATATTTGTGGGTCCTGGTAACAACAATTTGGGTAGATTGCTGATTCCTCTTTTCTTCTTAGTGGAAGAGAAAGCCAATACCCACCTCCTCTTGGGCATGTGCTTAGACGCCTGTGCTCGCTACCTTCTGTTCTCCAAGCAGCCATCACAGGCACAAAGGATGTATGAAAAAGCTCTGCAGATTTCTGAAGAAATACAAGGAGAAAGACACCCACAGGTAAGGGAGGAAAACACAGAAGAGGGAATATAAAACAAAGGTTTCAAAATTGAAGGGTGTGAAATGTCACACTCATTGGTAACAGGATCAGCAGATGGTCTTAGATCCTCCTTTCTCCCCAGTCTACTTATTTTCTTACCACCAGCACCCTCACCCCAACTACTTGTTTCAGAAAGGATTTGGGACTAGTTATCAGTTACTAGGTCTGCCCAGAACTTTTCGCGTGATCCACGGTTTGCACAACAGAGCAACCTTTCTACAAGGCAGGACTGGTCAGGCTTCAATGGACACAGCACAGTATTTGAGTGGGGTCTGTAGATACCCCCATTAGAAGCTTATGGGGAACAGTTTAATACACAGATATCCTTGCCTCCCTTACCCCACAGTTAAAATGGCAGGAGGTGAGGGAAGGAACAAGGGACCACATTAAAAACACTTTTAAACCATTGGCATATTATAGAATTTAAGTGTAACGTGTAAAGCTCTGTGTTAGAACACTAAACACATTCAATCGAAATCATCTCTTTGGGTCTCCCCTCCATCCAAATAAGTTCTTAGATGTAAGGAGTGCATTGCTTTGTCTGTGAATGCTCGCTACCCCCAATATAAGACATAACTATTTTAACTGAATGTGTCCCAAGGCTGGGGTACATGGGCAGGGTGAGTAATATGTTTTGGAAGAAAAGGGGGGTTGAGCTATGAATTATCTCCATGAAAGGGATTTATGACTTATTATGAAGAGTCCCTTAATAGAGTGAGGAATAATAAACAAGCAAGCACAGAATTCAGATCTCCAAGTACTAGGGTCAGGGGGCTTAAAGCATGGCATCAGTGGGGAAGTAGGTATGGAAGTGTACCTGTTACAGTAGCCAAATTAAAAAAAACTTACTGGGCATCTTCCTAAAATAGATGGTATGTTTCTTGTTTTTGATGAGCCTCAGGGTTATCAGCAGGAACAACATAATACAGGGGGGTTCTAGAGGCAATCAAACCATACGAGGCTGGCTTCTCAAAGTTGCTCAGCCTTAAATGAGATAATATGTATAGCATCTTGCTGTTGTTTTTCATTTGGTGTTTCTAATTGGGTAATTAGTTGGATTAACATGTACTGTTTCCTAATTTCCAGATTTGTATTTCCCAGAAGGTCGAACTAACATTCTCCACTGTACAATGTGATTACCAAATGCCCACAAATTTGTTAAAGGCTGGTATCCCTCATCTTTTGTGGAATGCTAGGAAAGATGAAATCTTATGTATTCAGAGTTGGATGCACTCCACATTAAAGTTCTGTGCAGGCATGTTTTTAAAGAAACTACTTTTTTCTTTTCCATATAGACCATTGTGCTGATGAGTGACCTGGCTACTACCCTGGATGCACAGGGCCGCTTTGATGAGGCCTATATTTATATGCAAAGGGCATCAGATCTGGCAAGACAGATAAATCATCCTGAGCTACACATGGTCCTCAGTAATCTAGCTGCAGTTTTGATGCACAGAGGTAGGTAGCAATGGAAACTTAACTGACTTCCTTTAAGGGAGGGATGTCACTGGATTGATAAATTTGTGAAATGGTATGTAGGGAGGGCAAGGGCCAACAAAGAAACATGTAAATTAAAAGGCTGGTTGAATGGCAGAGAAAGAAGGTATTAATTAGGTTGAAGTACTGTTGTGCTCAATTCACATAACTTCTGCAGACCTGCAGTAGCCTGTCAAACCCCATCAAGCTGCAGAAAACCTTGCAATGACAGTACCTTACACGTCAGTAGTGCTTTACGGATTTCTAAATGTGTTCAGTTACAATGTGTTTCTCACAGAGTGCTGGTGAAGCTTGTATGACAGGAAGTATCAGTTTGACAGACATTTCTTAGTGTCAGCACACTATACCTATCATTTTCAGAAACCTGGGATGACAGGTGTATTACACATACCACCATTCATGAAATCTTTGGCTCATCAAAGCCCTCAAGATATACTGGAAAGGACTGTAAAGAATCCCCCAGCATTCAGTGGAGTTCCAGCCTGTCAGATGGGGATGAAATGAGGCAGCACCAGCCTGTCACTTCATAAGCACACAGTAAATTAGCCCCATATCCACATTAGTGCTGTCTCTTCAGAATCACCTGGGAAACATACACTTTCTTCTTACTGTCCCTTCTCTCTGGGTTATTTTAGAACGATATACACAAGCAAAAGAGATCTACCAGGAAGCACTGAAGCAAGCAAAGCTGAAAAAAGATGAAATTTCTGTACAACACATCAGGGAAGAGTTGGCTGAGCTGTCAAAGAAAAGTAGACCTTTGACTTAAATTCTGTCAAGCTCTAAATCCGTTTTTGTGTAGGGAGAATAATGTCTAGCAATGCGGAAGAATAGCTGTCATTCCTGTCTCTGTGGCACCCAAATCAATGGCTTAAATCTGTCGTTTTTGATATTCAGGTTTCCTCAATTTAGCCTTAGTGAAGGGGGAGTTGTATACACTGCCATTTTTGTATTTTAAAGGAAAAATGACTTTCATTCCCAACTGATTATGATCTTTCAGGACTGCTGTCAAGTGATGCTTTCAGTTGTAACACGTGACTTGGTGCTGTCCCTGCTGGTCTAAGTAGAACTATAGATTATTATGGGCTGGCGTTCCTGTGGGCTGTGGGTGTGGTGATTCAGCCTGGCATTTCTACTATAAGTTTTTGGTCTCCTGATATGCTGCCCTCTCTTCTCGTACTTTATCAATACCTGGCAAACTAACCAGAATTACCTTCTTCATGGCAAAGGGGGATTATGGTGAATTGTTCTTCTTATAATCTGTTTCATGAAGCACAGTATGGAATTTAATGCATAAAAAAGGAAAATATCTTAGTTTGCTACCAGCATCCAGTATGAAGTTTTAAAGTGGGGATTAGGCACATGACAGTATAGCACCCATTTGAATTTAAATAAAAGTGAACCATATGTATCTGGTTATATAAAACTAAAAGTGGGGATGGGCTAGGAAGAATGATGTAACCTTTTGTCTACGTTATCTGAACGCTCTACTTCCTTTGCAGCCTTAGTCACACAACTGAGTCATCTCAAGTACTCTTTAAGGACACACAGCCCAGGCTGTTCTGAGTCAGAATAGGCCCCTACAGGTATATTTTAAAACTCTTCGTAATTCTGATGTGTACTGCTGCTATAGTTGAACTACTGACCTGGATCTTAGTCCTAGCCTTTTTGCTTTTGCAATTTCAGTATCTTCATCTCTAAACTAGGGAAACACTGGGATTCTTTCTTAGCTGTGGGAGAAGGTATTTGGTTAGATGACTTTGAATGAATAGACTGCTGTGCTGGAAGAGCTTTGCTACACTGCCTCAAAGTATGTAAAGACACATAGGTGGATGCGTTTACCGCAGCAGTTGTATGGTACATTTTTAGCCATTTACCTAAGGAAAAAGACAGTTTTTCTAGGTACCATGAAGGACCCTGTTGGTATGCCTGTGGGGGTGGGATGTGAGTGGGACTGATAAACTGATATTTTTGGTTCGTATGTACATACTGGAAGAATCTTTTCATAATAAATGAGACTATACAACAAGATTGTATGTATCCCAGTAATCTTTGCATTTCTCACAAAAAAAAAAAAAAAAAAAAACTTCCTGGAGAATAAAAACACCGGAAACCTTGAGGTCCAAATCCTCAGGGATTAGACTAAAACTAGAGTTTTGTATGTTGCAGATGTAAATTTCTTCCTATTTTCTCTCTAATCTCAATTTACCATCCAGCTAATGCCATTTATCAAGTCTAGCTCAGAGAGGTAAGATACAATATAAATCAGATTGAGTTTCAGTAGAAACCAGTATTAACATATGGTGATTTCTTTTTTTTTTTTGAGACGGAGTCTGGCTCTGTCACCCAGGCTGGAGTGCAGTGGCGCGATCTCAGCTCACTGCAAGCTCTGCCTCCCGGGTTTACGCCATTCTCCTGCCTCAGCCTCCCGAGTAGCTGGGACTACAGGGGCCCGCCACCTCGCCCGGCTAGTTTTTTTGTATTTTTTTAGTAGAGATGGGGTTTCACCGTGCTAGCCAGGATGGTCTCGATCTCCTGACCTCGTGATCCGCCCGTCTCGGCCTCCCAAAGTGCTGGGATTACAGGCTTGAGCTACCGCGCCCGGCCATATGGTGATTTCTTAAAAAAATTAATATCAACCATTCACCTTTTTGCATTGAGAATGTTTTTACCTTTTCACAACTGCAGGGGTTACTGAAAGGTTTTTCATTCCAAGTTTTATTTATTTATTAATTTTAAATCATCCACAGTGACTCAGTGGTCTGGTTGTTGGAAACACTAGGAGTTTTCAGGACAGTCTCCTCATGTGGGTGTTCTCATTACAGTTCATTTGCACTGTTGTAAAATAAGGTACTGAAGCAAAAGGAGGACTGATCTCCTTTACTGATTGTTCTAAATTCAAAAGTGAATTGGTTAAAATCATGTAATTAAATTTTTTGAACTGTCCAGTGGTCACTGGAGTTTTCAGGGCATAGGTATTTTTAAAATAGAATCACTCAGTGTACCAAAATTAAAACATTATGCAATTTCCAATCATAAACATGCACTGGAAAATTGGCTGTCAGAATACTTCTATGAAGAGTATTAGGAAGACCTTAATTTAGTTCTGGGTGCTAAAAAATCATGTGTAAGGATATAGTGTCAGAACAGTGAAATCTAAGTCTACAAAGAGTATCACGCCTTGGTTTGCGGTGAACCTCAGTAAGTTGTCAGTGCTGCTCTGTGCTGTGCTTACCACTTAAATCATGATAAGGTGAACCTCCATAGGTAAGCCGTGTGAGAATTCTGTCCTTTCATTTATTTTGAACCAAGAACTGTTACTAGATTTTAACTCTCATTCTGAGATTTCTTCTCCAGGTGATGGTAAATAAAGTAATACGCACATTCTTTATGATGAGGATGGAGTGAGTGGTTCACAGCAGCTCACCTTCGGGTCCTCAAGTGGAACTGCAAGAGTAACAAGTTAGGCTCTGATCTGACATGTTCTCAGAAACTATACAGTTGACCTTCAAATAATGCAGGAGTTAGGGGCATAGACCTCCTAAGTAGTAAAAAATCCACATCTAACTTTGACTCCTCCAAAACTTAACTACTCATAGCCTACTGTTGACCAGAAGTCTTACGGATAACATAGTCGATTGACACATATTTTGTATATGTATTATATACTGTATTCTTACAATAAAGTAAGCTAGAGAAGAGAAAATGTTATTAAGATTATAAGGAAGAGAAAATATATTTACTATTCATTAAGTGGAAGTGGATCATCATGAAGGTCTTCATCCTCGTCATCTTCATGTTGAGTAGGCTGAGGATGAGGAGGGGTTGGTCTTGCTATCTTGGGTGGCAGAGGTGGAAGAAAATCCGTGTATAAGTGGACCCACACAGTTCAAACCCGTGTTGTTCAAGGGTCAACTGTATTCTGACTCAGAATAGCTTAAGACCCTCAGGGTCATAGAAAAATACCATCATAATCTCTTTTATGGTAGGTTGGCAATATAAATTATTAACAAATTCTAAAATATTACCAGTACCTGGAAAGAAAAATTCAGCAGAAAACTGTGAAGTGGAATATTTAGTCACTGTTTTTCATTCATTTTGAAATTTTTATGTATTTACATATATCTAGTGTAAATATACCAACTTTCCAAGTACTAGGAACGCTGACCACTAAGCCTGATCTAAAGTTTGTGTTGGGGACCTCAGGTATACAGAAGTGGAACAGGGACAGGAGTGTGAAAGCTTTGACTGGAGACAAATGTGGGCTTATGGCCTATCTCTGTCACTCATTTAACTGTATGGGCAAAGTACTAAACCTGTGTCTTCATCTGTAACATAGGGATTAGACACTAGTGATAGGAGGGTCTTGGTCAGTAGCTAATCACAGAGCTGCTTCCTTAAAAGCCTTGAGTACTTTTGTTTAAAAGTTTAGGTCTACTTGAAAGTCTGTAAAGTACTAATTTTTATCATCTTGAGAGATCTATTTCTCCCCTTTCCAGTTACCAGTGGCATTCTCCCAAAACTTAGTATCTGTATGTTATGGAAAGATAATTAAATGCTATGATAAATTGTATGGAAAAAAACTTAAAAATTCAGCAAGCAATTCTTAATGATACAACTGGCCCTCTAGTACCATAATTAGTTTAGAATTCAGTCTTTTAAATTATTTGCACCTTGAGAATCTGTGAAATGAAAACATTTAACAGTAAACTCTTATCCCAAGGAAGCAAAGTGAGAGTAAGTGCTGGTCCATAGTGATAGGGAAAAGGACTGTGTTCACCATGAGTTTTTCAGGATACAGCACAAAGCACGTCTAAATACTACACAGATCATTATCTTTTAACCCAACCAATCATATATATCAAACTAAGGGAAAAATATGTAAGCTTTTCCTTTGGAACCTGAGACACCAGGAGCCTTAAACCCACAAATAATCTACTGTAGCTATGGACAGGGTAGTCAAATTTATTTCAAAACAAAAGCTTTGTTGGGCTGCATCAAATGCAGGAGAAAAGGAATACTTAGGGGCATGGTTAAATTACCAGTGTGCATAACAGTGAGGTATGCCTCAAATAAGCCTTTAAAACTTTATAAACTGAACTAGAACATACCCATGCAGTAATATTTTTTCAGTGCTACTAATGAAAAAAAAAAAAAAAAAAAATTAAAGCCTGCACTGGAAATTTACAATATGGCAGAATTTGTTACTTCTACCTTTTGACCCTAACGTACAGATTTTATGACAGGGTCTGTGTTAAAAATCTAAACATTTTCACAAGATTTTAAACATCACTGGAAAGCTGAATTTAGAGGAAACAAAATCAGATAAAAGTACAATGCCCGTGACAGCCAACATTATGTAACTGGGCTGTATGAGGTTGTTTAGAAGGCTAGGGTTAAAAAGATAGACAAAAAGATTTTTAAAAATCACCCCCAAAGTTGATGCGCTGATTTGAACATAAGTACACCAGATACTACAGCAAGGGGATATACACTGCAAAAAGGTCATCTATTTACAGAAGAGTGATTTAAAGACATTATGGTTTTCTTTACAAACAGATGTAAGAACAGGAACTGTCCACTTTTTAAAAACTCTACATCTCAACCCTCCACTATTATTATAGTCCACTGAATTGCCTGTATCAAAGGCAGTTTTTTGTATGGTTTTTTCCCATTTGACTCTCCAAATGAATTTCCATCATTTCTTCATCATCTGTGGGCTGGCTCTCCTGAAAAGTCTCAGGGAATAAGTCATAGGAGGGCAGGTTTTTGACCTGCTACTAAAAATTAAACCACCAAAAACTAGAGATCCCTCTCCTGCACCCTGTTCCCCTCACTTTGTGCCGTTCAGTCGTCACTATCCGACAGGGTCTCGTACTGTGCTGAGAGCAGCGGGGCAGGCTCTCGCTCCCAGATCCTGTTCTGTTGGTGAGGAGCTGCTTGGTTCACAGCAGAGGGAGCACATGCAATCGGTGTTGGTGGAGTACTGCTGAGCATCCGCATAGTCAGAGGGTTATAAGGAAACTGAGTTGAGCCTGACAAAAGAAAAATTAGTTTTTCATTGTCATGAGCATAACTGCTACTTCATCCAATCCAACTTTTGTAGGATGGAGTAGAATAGGATTGTTCTAAAATGGTCATGTGACACCATGAAAGCAAAATGAATACAACACGGAAGGGCCAAAGTCTCACCACTTAAATCCTAGCCAATGATATGTAGCAGTCAGTGTGGATCCAGAAAAGAAGAGTAACATGAGTAGCATATGACTGAGGGCTGTTGAGCCCAGAAGAGAAAGCCCAGGCTAGATTTTTAGTTAAGTCTATAACTATCAGGTGTTTCCATGGAGAATCCAAGTTGAACTATTGAGTATTAAGCTCTAATTGAAACAGAGTCAGGTTATACCAGGAGCTTTCTTAACTCTTCAAGAGAAATCCAAGAGTACAGTTCTCAGACAACAACAGACAAGTACCCAGGAACATCTGCACACTGAGGGGCAGCAGGATGCATGTCATCTGCTGAATCTCACTGGGCAGATTTTAAAGTATACAAGATTGAGAAATGAGGTAATTAATGAACACTGCTACCCTTCATCAGTTTCTAGATGTTTAATTGTCCCCAGAAAGCCTCCTACAGCTTAAGAAAATGCAAAAACAGGCCAGGTGCAGTGGCTCACGCCTGTAATCCTAGCACTCTGGGAGGCCGAGGCGGGTGGATCACCTGAGATCGGGAGTTCGAGACTAGCCTGACCAACATGGAGAAACCCCGTCTTACAAAATTAGCTGGGCGTGATGGCGCATGCCTCTAATCCCAGCTAGTTGGGAGGGTGAGGCAGGAGAATCGCTTGAAACCAGGAGGTGGAGGTTGCAGTGAGCCAAGATAGCACCATTGCACTCCAGCCTGGGCAACAAGAGTGAAACTCCGTCTCAAAAAAAAACCAAAAACATAAAACATAACCATTTCATCAAATAATAAATCTCATGTATGGTCTAATTAATTCTTCCCTAAGAGAGATTTGAGAAGCCGCAACCAC